CAGCCTTGGAGACCCTGTGGGCAGTTCCACTCTGTCCTCTAGGGGTGCTGTGGGTCAGAATCCACTCCACGGCAGTGGGTGTGGTTTGATTTTGGTTCACTGCAGCAGACCCAGCTACTAGAATGTAGTATGTGTGCTCAGCACAGAGTGAGGATTCCATAAGTGCTTTCTGGGTGATTGAATGAATGAACAAATGACCAGTTGAAGGAAAGGAGGAGTGAATTAAATAAAAAGACTAAAAAGCAAGTGAGTTAATGAAGAAATGGAGTAAGAGGCGAGTGAGGGAACAGGCATGGCCTCAGCCCCCAGGATCCTAGAGCCCCCACCTCCCAGGGGCCTTCCTGTAGCACTAGCCTTGGTGGCTCCTGCGTTGAAGGGCCCAGGACAGCAGCAGCACCTAGGTCCTGTCCCTGCAGGTAACCTCTCGTCCAACAAGGCGTCCCAGGACCGGAAGCTGACATCCACACCCCGGGAGATTGCCAAGTCCCCACACAGCACTGTGCCCGAGCACCACCCGCACACCCTGTCGCCCTACGAGCACCTGCTGCGGGGCGTGAGTGGTGTGGACCTGTACCGCGGCCACATCCCGCTGGCCTTCGACCCCACCTCCATACCCCGTGGCATCCCTCTGGATGCAGGTGACCGCCTGGCCCACAGGCAGCACAGGGATCGGGGTGAGGCAGGGGCTGCTGGGGACCCCATGTCATCGGCCCGGTCACGGGGGCTGCTCGGGCAGCCACAGCGAGGCCCCGCTGCAGGGACCAGGGCCGGGGAAGGAGAGCCAGTGGGGCAGTCACGTGACCCGCTGAGGGTCAGGCAGGATCCCCGGGCCTTCTGAGGGATGGCAGGGAAATTCCCGGGGTTTGCTCTTCTCGGGGACTTAGCAGACCCTTCAGGTCACAGGTGGGCTCCAGGGCACTTCGGAAAGGGGGCGTGCATGTAAGCACAGCCCACCCACACTGACGCTATTTCCAGACCCTCTGTTTAGAGAGCAGCACCCCTCGGGGGTGTTAGTTAGTGAGCTGCGATTCGGATGCCTTGGGTTTGGAGAGCCTGGAGCCCACCCGGTGAACGCTGTTTCCAATGGGAGGGCCCTCCGCCACAGTTTGGGGGTCAAGCGTTTTCCTACTTGGAGGCAAGAGAAGGCCCTTTCAGGCCTCACTCTGTTCAAGTTATGGGTGTTTCAGGGATCCAGGGGTGTCAGTGGGCGAAGCTGCCAGGGTTCAGGAATGGGGTCCTTAAGGTGGGTGGGGGCTGCCTCCTTGACCAAGGTGTGGGCCGGCCTGATCCCTCCTCCCCTCCGCCTGGCAGCTGCAGCCTATTACCTGCCCCGGCACCTGGCCCCCAACCCCACCTACCCGCATCTCTACCCGCCATACCTCATCCGTGGCTACCCGGACACAGCGGCCCTGGAGAACCGCCAGACCATCATCAACGACTACATCACCTCTCAGCAGATGCACCATAACGCAGCCACCGCCATGGCCCAGCGTGCTGACATGCTGCGGGGCCTCTCGCCCCGCGAGTCCTCGCTGGCGCTCAACTACGCTGCGGGCCCCCGAGGTGGGTGGGGGTGCGCAGGCCGTCCGGGTTGGCGTGGGCTGCGATGCTGGCTCGTGCGGGTCCATGTGTGGGCGGAGCACGTGCCTTCTCCAGTGCACAGCTGTGGTCCCTTCCGAAGCCTGGCTTTGTGTGGGGTCCCCCTGAGCACCCGGGGGCCTGGCGGGTGGGTCTGGAACAGGAACAGGTCTGTCTGACACATCTGATTCACATGCATGTTGCGTGGGTACTTGGGATGCACACGGGCCTGTGTGCTTGCTTAGGTAACAGGGTGTTTGGTGAACGGGAGGTGAAGAGGTTTGAGTCGTGGGTTTTCTTGGCTCATAAACAGCCTGCGGTTGCTTTGCATGTGCACGTTAAAGTTCTCTGGCGACGATTCTGGAATGTTCTGGAGTGACCCAGTACAAGCCGGGAGCCTGTGGGAAAAGCTGGGGTCACATTGGGCATTTTGGACAGAGGGCATTGAATGGAGGAGACTGATTATATAGGTGTCGAGGCTGGAGGAGCCACTGGGTGCCCCGGGCTCACCCAGAGACGCCAGCCTCAGGGCGTGCCCCTTCTGGTTTCAGGAGCCTGACCCCCTTCACCTGTCATAGCCCTCGTCACGGCCCCAGGAAGGAGAAGGTGGTGTGCCTCACCACCTGTCCCAGCCCCTAGCACCTGTCTCAACCTTAGAAAGGACGGGGTGGTGCGCCCCTGGCAGATGCCTAAGTCCCAGGAGACAAGTCAGGCCCCCGGGATGCTGGGCTGAGGTGCTGGATGCTGGCATTCAGAAGAGAGGTCCCCTGGGGGGGGCAGTGGCACCCTCTCCCCCACAGCTTCAGTCCCTGGCCCTCTCCTCCGCAGGCATCATCGACCTGTCCCAAGTGCCACACCTCCCCGTGCTCGTGCCGCCGACCCCAGGCACGCCCGCCACCGCCATGGACCGCCTTGCCTACCTCCCACCCACTCCCCAGGCTTTCAGCAGCCGGCACAGCAGCTCCCCGCTCTCCCCAGGTAGGGTGCCCCTGTCACCCGTCACGACCCCCGTCACAGCTCTGGGAAGGAGATGGTGATGTGCCCTGTCTGGACCCCATCACCCATCATGATGCCCATCATCCACTGTGACCCCCATCATGACCCCAGGAAAGGGGGTGGTGTGCCTTGTCACCCACCATGACCCGTCACTGTCTTGACCGCCGTCACTGCCTCAGGAAGAAGAGCGTGGTGTGCCCTGTCTCAACCCTGTCACCCGTCATGACCCCCTTCACCTGTCATAGCCCTTGTCACGGCCCCAGGAAGGAGAAGGTGGTGTGCCCCATCACCTGTCACAACCCCTAGCACCTGTCTCGACCTTAGGAAGGACAGAGGGTGGTGCACCCCGGCAGATGCCTGCCCGGACACAAGTCGGGCCCCCTGGATGCCGGCTGAGCCTCAGGCCTCTCTGGTATTCCAGGAGGTCCCACTCACTTGACGAAGCCGACCGCGGCCGCCTCGTCCGAGAGGGAGCGAGACCGGGAGCGTGAACGGGAACGCGAGCAGTCTCTCCTCACGTCCACCCCCACAGTGGAGCATGCGCCCATCTGGAGACCCGGTGGGTGGCAGAGACCCCGTCCCCACTCTGGGGGTCCTGGTGGGCCGCGGGAGGCCCCCACTGCGTCACTGATGCCACGCCTGCCCCAGGTACAGAGCAGAGCAGCGGCGGTGGCAGCAGTGGGGCTGGGAGCAGCAGCAGCCGTCCCGCCTCCCACCCCCACAGCCACCAGCACTCGCCCATCTCTCCACGGACCCAGGACAACATTCAGCAGCGGCCCAGTGTGCTGCACAACACGGGCATGAAGGGGATTGTCACCGCCATGGAGCCCGGCACCCCCACAGTCTTGAGGTGAGCCACGGCACACAGAAGGGGACCGGCAGGGTCGGGAAGATACGGGTTGGTGGGTAGATAGGGGATGGATTGGGAGAGTGGACAGACGGGGGCGTGGATGGTGGGTGGTGATGGTTGGGGGGGCAGGTGAGTTATGTGAGTTAGAGGATAGACTGAAAGAACAGGTTATGGGCAGGTAAGCAGGCAGGTGGGTTATGTGAGCTAGAGAATAGACTGAACAGGTTATGGGCGGGTAAGCAGGCAGGTGGGAGGACAGAAGAGTGAACAGGTGATGGGTGGGTAGGTTGAAAGATGAGTAGATAAGACACTGCATAGCTGGTGGATAGATGGGTGATTGGGTGGATCTAATGAATGCATGGATGAGGATATGGTGGATGAACAGATAGATGAGTAGGTTGTGTGGGTAGATGGATGGGTAGCTAGGTGGGTAGGTGGTTGGGTAGATGGGTGGAAGGGTGGATGGTTGGGAAGGTGACGGATAATGAACGGAAGGGTGGTGGATGAATGGTGGGTACGTGGGTGCATGGATAGAAGGATAGATTGGTAGGTGGATGGATGGATGGGTGGGTGGATGGATGGGTAGATAGGTGGGTGGATGGTTGGATGGAGGGATAGATGGGTAGGTGGGTGGGTAGGCAGTGGGGGGGATAGGTGGTAGATGAATGGATGGAAGGGTGGTGGATGAATGGTGGGTAGGTGATAGGTGGGTAGGTAGGTGGACCCTCAGTTGCCTTGTCTGCAAAAGTGGGGAGAATTGTTACCCTGAGCAGTTGCAGTGGGGATGAGAGGTGGTCCATTTGCATGTTCCTTTTTCTTGGTGGTCCTCCTGGGTGTGGGGGACACAGTGCTGGCAAGGCCAGGTGGCAGTCATGGAAGGCTGCCTGGAGGAAAGGGCATGTGAAACTCAAAAGCCACTAAATCAGTGTTGCAGGGATGAGCAGAGTGTTCCAGGCCAAGGGTGTGGTGAGCATCCAGGGAGCTGATGTGGTCACCCCCCCACCCCACCCCCAGGCAGTATAACTGCTCATAGCGGGGTCCTTGATCCCTTCTGGCCACGGCCTCCAGGGCCTTTGTCTGTGTGCCCTCACTGGGCTCACACTCTCCTGTGTCCACAGCAGGTCCCACTGAAGTGTGCTCCGCCCCCCAGGAAGGCCTCCCCTACTTCCTGTCTGAGCGTCTCCATCTAGTTCTCTCTCCTGTCGTCTGAGTGGGTGCCTCTGAGCAGTCCCACTGGCTGAGAGGGTTCGGGTTGATGACAAATGTATCACAGTCTGTCTTGTCACCTGGAGCCCAAGTCCCACGAGAGCAGGTGCTTTGGTTGGTCTGTGGTTGTCTGCAGCAGTGTCTGGCACACAGTAGGTGCTCAGTAAACATTCTCGGAGCAGTTGAAGGAACGGAGGAGGGGCGTGGGGCCACGCCCACAGAGCCTGCAGCAGGGATCAGCACAGCAGGGAGGACTGGCCAGTACCTGGGGCACCTGGGACTCCTGGAGGGCGAAGGAGTGACCACACCCAGGCTGTGTGGGTTCCTGAGTGCGGTTCCCTCGCCATCTGACGACTCCTCTTCCTCCCAGGTCCACCTCCACCTCCTCGCCTGTGCGCCCCACCGCCACGTTCCCACCTGCCACGCACTGCCCGCTGGGCAGCACCCTCGACGGGGTCTACCCCACCCTCATGGAGCCTGTCCTGCTGCCCAAGGAAGCCCCACGGGTGGCCCGGCCCGAGCGGCCTCGCCCTGACGCCGGCCACGCCTTCCTCGCCAAGCCCCCTGCCCGCGCCGTGCTTGAGCCCGCCTCCCCCAGCAAGGGCTCCGAGCCCCGACCCCTGCCGCCCCCCGGCCCCAGCCACGCGTCCATCGCCCGCACCCCAGCGAAGAGCCTCACCACCCACCACGCCAGCCTGGAGCAGCCGGCCCTGCCCGCCCCGGCCGCAGACGCACCCCGGGAAAAGACTCAAAGTAAACCCTTTTCCATCCAGGAACTGGAACTCCGTTCTCTGGGTAAGACCACCCTGACAGCGGCCACCTTCATAGACGCGATAATCATGCGTCAAATTGCTCACGATAAGGGGCTGCGAGAAGGAGGTGTGCTGGCCACCGTCTCCCCTCGCGATGGTAAGACTTCCGGCCGCCGCCTCGTCTGTGCTCTAAAGATACCGCCAGATCTCTGCTTTTTATTTTTCCCCAATTTTCGTTAGTTTTGGTATTTTGTTTCCCACCCGCGCCGCTGCCGCCGACCGCACGCTCTGACGACCCTCCGCCGCCCGACGGCCCTTTGCCTTGTGTTACCATGACTCTTTCCTTTGTTTCGGATTTGCATTTTTTTCTGTTAATGAATGGATCTGTGATTTTGACGCCGACCACGCCTCCCACCTCTCCCTCTGCACCTTCGTTTGGGGCGCGGGAGTGGGGTGCTGAGGGCTGGGGTCCTGCTGCCACTGTGTGTACGTCAAGCTCCACGTGGAGAGACCGAGGCAGATGGTGCAGGGGAGGCGGGAGGGGACCCCACCCTCTGAGGAGGCCGCCCTGGTCCCTGGGAGGAGGGAACAGCCCTGCATCCAGCTTCCCCTGCCGTCCTCCCTCCCCCATGCCCCTCTGCTGGGCCAGGGGCTGCCCAGGCTGTGGTCCCAGAGAACCACTGGGGCCGGAGCCTCACCTGAGCAGCCCGCCACCTGCTACCCCCCCCGCCTGCTCTCTCCCCCCCACACCCCCTTTCATCCCCCCTCCCCGCTTTCTGTCCTCCTCTCTTGCTCCCCTCCTTTCTGTTTCTCTCCCTCCCTCCCTCCCTCTCCCTCCCTCTCCCTGCCTCCCTCCCTCTCCCTCCCCCACGGGACCTCTCTCTCCAACTTGTTCTCCATTTCTCTCCATCAGAGCATCTGCCTGTCTCCTCTTCTACCCACGTGTCTCTCCCGGCCTGACCCTCTGTCCCCACACATCTTCCGCCTCTCTGGATGCCCCCACCCATAACTGGCCTGGCTCCCCTTCCCCTGCCCTCCCCACCCCAGCTTGGGTTTCCCTCATAGCCCCCACCCAGCCAGAGTGGGGGGCTGGGAGCAGTGCCAGCCCGGGACCCTGCAGCCCCACCCTGACTGTTCTCTGCCCTGTACAGGTTACCATGGTGGCGGCGGCGGCAGCGGTAGCTACAGCCCCAATGGGGTGGAGCCTGTCAGCCCCGTGAGCCCCCCGCCCAGCCTGGCACATGACAAGGGGCTCCCCAAGCCCCTCGAGGGGGCCGACAAGAGCCACCCAGAGGGCGAGCCACGGCACAGGCAGCCAGGTGCGGCCCCCGGGGCGGGGACAGCCATTGTCCTGGGCTCCACAGATGCTGGAATTGGAGCCACATCTGCTCGTGATAAGGACCACAGCCTCTGGGCAGACGGTCCCCCATCGCCCCCGGCCCACTGACCTGCTCCGCTTCTCCCACAGGCCCCGGCAAGCTCAGCAGCGAGGCAGCCCACCTCCCGCACCTGCGGCCCTTGCCTGAGAGCCAGCCCTCGTCCAGCCCACTGCTCCAGGCCACCCCAGGGGTCAAAGGTCACCAGCGGGTAGTCACCCTGGCCCAGCACATCAGTGTAACTAGCCCTTCTGATCACTTTTCACACCTCGGTTGGGACCTGGGGGAGGGGTCAGACACAGCCCCTGGGTTCCAGGGGGGTAAACTGAGTCCCAGTGGGGAGGCCCAGGTAGGGTGGGGGTGAGGGACATCCCAGGGATTTCAGGCTCTCAGACTCGGGTGTCACAACTACTTCTCCCAGCTGTGGGGTCTTCTGAGTTGTGTAGCCACTGGTTTGAGAGTTGAGGCCACAGGGGACTGGAGGCTGGAGGGGGGGCCAGCAGGTCTCCTGACCCCGACCACCCCCCCCACAGGAGGTCATCACCCAGGACTACACACGGCACCACCCCCAGCAGCTCTCCGCCCCCCTCTCCGCCCCACTCTACTCCTTCCCTGGAGCCAGCTGCCCTGTCCTGGACCTCCGACGCACCCCCGGTGACCTCTACCTCCCGCCCCCCGACCATGGTGCCCCAGCCCGGGGCTCCCCGAACAGCGAAGGGGGCAAGAGGTGAGCTGGCCATCAGGAGCCCCAGCAGATGAGAAATAGGCTTGGTGGGCAGGGCCTGGCAGTGGGCACAGCTGGTCCATTGTACCCTTTGGGTCTGTCACACCCCCGAGCTCCAGGTCAGGTCTGAATACCTGACACATGTGGACTTGGTTTCTCATGACTGGGGACTGTGGGCAGCATTCTCGCCCGTTTCATGGATGTGGAAACTGAGGCCTAGAGCAGCATGCTGGCCCCCCACACAGGGACTCAGCCAGGGACTCGGGCCAGTGTGAGCTGTGGAGGGCGGCCTATACACTCACGTGTGCACATGCTCACTGTATGCTCACACACATGCACATACTGTATATGCTCAAACATGTGCACGTGCTCACTTTATGCTCATGTGCACTTGCTCACATATGCATACGCGGTGTATACTCACGTGCATGTGCTCACATGTACCTGCTGTGTACTCACATGTGCACATGCTGTGTACCCACGTGTTTACGTGCTCACACGTCCATATGCTCTGCTCGCACACGTGTACACATGCTCACTTTATGCTCACATGCACATGGGCACATGTGCTCATGCTCACACGTGCACATGCTGTGTACCCACACGTGTACCTGCTCAGTGTACACACACCCAGTCACACACGCACACACACACCCCAGGATTGCTGGCGTGGTCGAAAGGAAAGGCATTCTGGGTGGTGAGAGGCAGCAAGGTGTTTCAGGGGAGCAGTGGGACCTAGCTGTAGGCACAGCAGGAGGGGACCCTGGCTGGGGGCATGTTGGAGGCCTGGAGCGGGACCTGGTGGAGCCGCTGCCTTTCGCAGTCTGTGAGCTCAGGAGGTATTTGGGCTGAAAGGATCAAACCGGGAGAACATGTGCTGAAGAGACTGTGATTGCGACCTGGCCCTTTGCAGGAGAGGTGGGCTCTGAGCTTAGCGGGGCCTTGGGCTGCCCCTTCTGGACGGTGACTGACCCAGCTGTGCCCATCTCTCCATCCAGGTCTCCAGAGCCCAGCAAGACCTCAGCCCTGGGCAGCAGCGAAGCTGCCATTGAGCCAGTGTCCCCACCAGAGGGCATGGCCGAGCCTGGGCACCCCCGGGGCGCCATGTACCCACTGCTGTACCGGGATGGCGAGCAGCCAGAGCCCAGGTACCACGGGGCACCCCTCTGCCCGTGGGGGCTCTCTTCTCAACTCCATGCCCACAAAGCTCCTAGCAAGGGCCTCGGGGTGCAGGGGATTGGCTTGGCAAATTCTGCCATGGGCAGAGGTCTGCTCAGGGCCCTCATGAGGACCAGGGTCTGGGAGACCACGTAACTGTGCCAGGCGCTGTGGAGGGCAGAAGGCAAGTCTCAGACCGTGGGGCCGGCCTGGCTCGAGCCCCCGGCACACGGGGCAGCCCCCAGGGCAGTTGGGTGTCTCCAGAAGTGTCCTGAGCCCAAGGGACCTGGGCTGCTGAGACAGATGGGGTGCAGGGCTGGGTGAGAGATGTTTGGTTCCAAACAGCTAAGGCAGTTAGGGGTGAGCTCCCCCTTGTATGCTAGCCTAACACTGAGGGAGCTGGTCTGGGGTGTCTGCCCTCCCGGCAGGATGGGCTCCAAGTCTCCAGGCCACACCAGCCAGCCACCAGCCTTCTTCAGCAAGCTGACAGAGAACAACTCCGCTATGGTCAGATCCAAGAATCAGGAGATCAACAGGAAGCTGAGCAGCCACAACCGGAACGAGCCGGAATACAGTAAGGGCACCAGGCCCCGGGAGCATGGGTCCAGTGGCCAGGCACTCCCCGGATGCTACCTCCCTGCATTCCAGGGTCCCTGCCAGTCCTCAGGCGCTCACTGGTGCAGGACGTGGCACACAGCGTGAGCTCCCTGGAACCCAGGGAGGGCCCAGGGTTGTGCTGAGCCCCGTACGAGGCACCAGGGCCCACACTGGTCCCGTCTCATGTGCGCGGGGCATTGCTGACCGCACTCAGCTTGCCAGTCCTGAGCCAGCCTGGGCTGTGGTGAGGGGTCTCAGTCTGTGCACTCAGCCGTGGTGCTGGGGGCTGCACCTGCTCCCTTCAAGGCTGCAGTCCAGCCTCACGGGTGGGCCTTGGCCCGGGCTGCTCACTCCAGGGTCTTGATGAGTGGGTGGCAGCCTCAAGCTGGTTACTGGGGCTGGAGCACAGGCCTTAGCCCAGACTCGTTACCAACAAGAGCCTAGCCTTGGCCTAGACCGCTCAGGTCATGGGACTCCCAGGGCCTACGGGTCTGAGGCCTCACCCACCTTGTCTCCTCCAGGTATTGGCCAGCCGGGCACCGAAATCTTCAATATGCCGGCCATCAGCGGATCAGGTAATCAGCCAGTACTTGGGGGCCAGGCCTGGGACCTAGGAGGAGACTCGGAGGTGTGACCTCGGGTCCAAGTTCACCCCCTTTCTGTTCTGAACAAGCCCTCTCATTCTAGTTGGTTTACCCTCCCTTCTCGACTCCCTTGCCAACACCCCCCACCCCCTGGGCCTTCCGTGACCCCGTGAAGGAGGGTGTGCAGAGGCTTGCTGGCCACCTGTGTGGCATTCAGGGTTCTGGCCCCTGGTGGCCGGGTAAGCCAGGGTCTGTGCTCTTGGCAGGGAGTTGGTGTGAGGGGTTCCTGACTGGGCCCATCTGTCTTCCCACAGTCTCCAGAGACAGGGAGGGCTTTGTTGAGCCCAGGAAAGTGGCAGAAAACAATTTGGTCGAAACTACCAGATGGTTAAAGTGACTTTCCAGAATGTTGTAAATCTTGACCTAGGTGGTAGACACACCGGTGTGCATGTACGTGGAAGTTCATGGTGTAGTGGGGAGCGACTACGACGTGTGCTGATGCATGTGTGCTCCGTTGGAGCACTTGTGCATGTACACACGTGTGTGTGTACGTGGCACTTCATGGTGTGGGGTGGTGCAACTACGATGTGTGCCGAGGTGATGTGTGTGTGCTCCACTGGAGCACTTGCATGTACACACGTGTGGTGTGTAAGGGGCACTCCGTGGTGTGGTGTGACTACGACATGTGCTGAGGCGATGTGTGCGCACTCCATTGGAGCATTGTGCATGGACACGTGTGTGTCCGTGGCATAGTGTGACTGATATGTGCCGAGGTGATGTGTGTGTGCTCCACTGGAACACTTGTGCATGTATTATTCATGTGTGTGTACGTGGTACTTCATGGTGTGGTGTGGTGTGGCGTGATGACATGTGCCGAGACGATATGTGCTCTCCATTGGAGCATTTGTACACATACGTACACGTGTGCATGTACATGGCACTTCGTGGTATGGCGTGGTGCAACTATGACATGTGCCGAGACGATGCGTGTGTGCTCTACTTGGGCACTTATGCAGGTACACGTGTGTGTGTATGTGGCAGCGTGACTACGACGTGCCGAGACGATGTGTATGTGCTCCATTGGAGCACTTGTGTGTGTACAGACGTGTGTGCATGTGGCACTTCGTGGTGTGGCGTGGCATGACTATGACATGTGCCAAGGAGATGCATGTGTGCGCTCCGCTGGAGCACTTATGCATGTATACGCGTGTGTGTGTACGTGGCACTTCGTGGTGTGGTGTGGTGTGGAGCAACTACGTGTGCTGAGATGATGCGTGTGTGCTCATTGGGGTACTTGTGTATGTGCACGTGTGTGTGTATGTGGCACTTCGTGGTATGGCGTCCACGACTGTGACGTGTGCCGAGACAACGTGTGCACTGTTGGAGCAGTTTTCCTGCAGGCCCTGCTCTTTGTGTCTGTTGGGCCCTGTGCAGGCCCCATCATTTCTAGAACGTTCTCCCACCCACAGCAAGCAGGATCTGGGTCCCTTACTTTGTCACTTCCACTTCATGTAACTTCCTTGGGCCCCTGGCTGGTGCGGATGGTTACAGCAGTTGCTGTGAACAGAGAGCTGGGGGTTCGAGCCCGTCCACAGGCAGCTTGGAACAAAGGCTGGGGGTCTGTCTTTAAAAACCGCAGCCGTGGAAGACCCACCGGCACACGGCTGTGTGTGACATGTGTGGGCCGACTCGGTAGCAGCTGCTGGTGGTCCCTCATGCACAGGCGTGTGAACACGACTTCGTGTGTTTACTGCCCACTCCTGGAGAGTGGGTCACTCTGTCCTATGAACAAGGCTCATTTTATTTTTAGAGCTAATGAGGTGGGGCTGGGCTGGGGCCGCGCAGGGACGCTGGGTTGCGATGCGCTCGGAACTCAGGAAGACAAGGCAGGTGAGGCAGTCACCCAGAAATGGGTCAAGAGCCGCTGGCCGGGTCAGCCCCTCGGATGCCTCAGCGCACAGACGAGGGGTCACAAGGACTGTATTTGTACAATTTGCTTGGAGAAAAGTTTTAAAAGATCACAGAAATAGTGCTAATTGGTAGGGAGAATTAATTGGCTTGGGATCTGTCGAAGGCTTCGACAGCAAAGTCTAACTTCTGAAATGCTCGCGTGGAAAGAGATGCCCATCTTGGGTTTGAGGCAGAAAGGCTTCCGACAGCAGCAGTGTTATCTGAAAGGGCCTGTGGGTGCCCTGCGCGGTGGGGGTGGGCCGGGATCCTCGGGCGTCTCTCAGCTCCCTGCACGGTGACTGCATGGCTGGGTCCTCCCCACATCTCCGCACTTCTCTCTCTGTTGGTCCCTGGGAGGGGCAGCTGGGGGTACAGGCAGGTGGCTGAGGGGCCCAGGCCTCATGTCCCCTCCGTGAGCCCCTGCCAGCCCCTGGAACCAGAGCAGCTTGGCCAAACCCTTTCCCAGCCCCACACACTTTCCTCAACCCTTCCCCACTCTCTTTCTTACCCAAAGAACCCAATCAAACTCAATGCTGTTGAGTCGATTCGACTCACAGCAACCCCTCCTTGGGTTTCCAAGGCGGTATCTGTACAGAAGTAGATTGCCCAGTCCTCATGCCCAGGAGTGGCTGGTGGGTTTGAACCTCCAGCCTTCTGGTTAGCACTCCGATGCCTTAGGCACTATGCCCCCAGAGCTCCATTTCTTAGGCCACTTGGAATTTACCCAAAACTGGGCGTCTCACCTGGGGCTGGGGGCAAGGGGCTTCCCACGAGGGGCCCCTCCTCCCAGCCGCCCCGCAGGAAGCCGCCTGGGGCAGGGTCGCAACGCACAGGGGCGCGCTTTGCTGACGTGTGGTCGTGTCTCTCTCGCCCCCCCTCCCCTCGGCCCTGTGTGTCTGTCCATCTCTCTCCCAGGCCTAGTGAGCTGTAGAAGCCAGGCTGTGCCGGAGCACGCCAGCACCAACCTAGGCCTGGAGGCCATCATTAGGAAGGCTCTCATGGGTAAATATGAGCAGTGGGAGGACCGCCCGCCGCTCGGCGCCAACGCTTTTAACCCTCTGACTGCCAGTGCCAGCCTGCCTGCTGCCCTCCCCATAACCACTGCTGACGGACGGAGCGACCGCTCCCTCGCCTCGCCAGGTCTGCAGACCGAGCCCCGGCCCTCACGTACCTCTCGCCCGCCCAGCCCCCGGCTTTGGAGCTTGTGCGCGTGCGCGTCTCTGGCCTTACAGACCCTGCTAACCGAGGCTGCCCCGCCCCGCCCCACCAGGCTAGCGAGTGCTGCTGCCGCCCTAAACCCGCTCGCACCGCCGAGCCCTGCCCGCCACCCCCGAGACGCCCCGACATCTCGGCCCAGCCGGCACCGCCGTGGGCCCGGGGAGGGGAGGAAGTGCCGGGAGGAGCCCGAGCCCCCCAGCTCCTCTCCACACTGCACATGAGTCGGGGCCCAGGAAGTTTCTAGACTCTCATTGGCACCCAGGCCTCTTTGCAGGGCCCCCAGCCACTAGTCCCAGTAGTGAATGTTAATGAACATCCGGAACTCGCGTGCAGCAAGGGCCCCAGCTTCCCGCTCGGTCAGGCCAGGGGCTTTGCGAACAACCCGCCCCTGGTTTCCGTCCCGTGGAGTCACCACCCCAGGCTCATCCCCTCGGCTGCCTGGGTAGCCTGAGTGTGTCTGGGGCCAGACCAAGCCACCCAGGGGTCACACTGCCGGTCCCCCTCCACGGAGGGGCCTCCCGCCCCAGCCCGGTACTGCCCTCTCGGTCCAGCTCGGCCCCTCCCGCTTGCCCTGCAGGTGGTGGAGGTGGTGGCGGGAAGACCAAGGTTTCCGGCAGACCCAGCAGTAGGAAGGCCAAGTCCCCGGCCCCCGGCCTGGCGGCTGGGGAGCGGCCGCCCTCCGTCTCCTCCGTGCACTCCGAGGGGGACTGTAACCGCCGGACGCCGCTCACCAGCCGCGTGTGGGAAGACCGGCCCTCGTCCGCAGGTGCGTGTCCCAGGAGGCCTGCTGGGCCCACAGCAGAGGCGGCCAAGGAGCCTCCCGGTGTGGGGGGGGTGCTCTTCTAGGAAGCCAGCTCCGGCCCCTGACCAGAGAGGGGAGGGGGGATTCTAGAAGGGATGGGGTCAGCGATGGAGGGGGAGGGGCCTGACCCCACAGGGTGTGCAAGACCCCTTGGCTGCTGGGAAGTGGCTTACAGCCAAGGGCAGAGCTAGAGGGGGCAGCCCGAGCTGCTGGCTGACAGGCCCTCTGGCCATCTCCCACAGGCTCCGCGCCCTTCCCCTACAACCCCCTGATCATGCGGCTTCAGGCAGGCGCCATGGCCTCTCCACCACCCGGCCTCCCTGCAGGCAGCGGGGCTCTGGCCGGCCCCCAGCACGCCTGGGACGAGGAGCCCAAGCCCCTGTTGTGCTCACAGTACGAGACGCTCTCTGACAGCGAGTGACCCAGGGGCAGCCCCAGGGCCCAGTGTGCGGCAGGGCGAGGAGCCAGGCGGACGCCCACTCCCGCTGCCAAGGAAGGAGCCCCCGAGTCTGCTGGTCCGTCCGTCCAGAGCCGGCATCCTTGCCTGTCTAAAGCCTTAACTAAGACTCCCACCCCGGGCTGGCCCTGTGCAGACCTTACTCAGGGGATGTTTACCTGGTGCTCGGGAGGGGAGGGGAGGGGAGGGCAGGCCACAGCAGGCATGTGGTGGCTACACGTGTGCCTGCGGCCGGGGACCCCAGGCAGGATGACACGCCTCCCAGGCCGCTGCCTCCCCCCAATGCATTTGGAACCAAAGTCTAAACTGAGCTAGCAGCCTCCGCGCGCCCCCATCCTGCTTAGTGCTCTGGACAGATGGACACCAGCCCTGTCCAGCCCCCAGCACTCTCGTCCTGGCCCCCCGCAGGCTGCCCTGGCCCTGAGGCTGCTGCCATCGAGGTGGGCATAAGGGCCAGGTGTGGCCTGGGGCGGCGGACGCTCTGAGCAACTGGACTGTTTCATACATCATCGCCGCAGCGGTGGGAAGGAAAGGTGTACGTGGTGTCTTGGTTTACAGGGTATATTTTTGATACCTTCAATGAATGAATTCAGATGTTTTACGTGAGGAAGGACTTACCCAGTGTCATTGCTGCTCTGCTTCCCACCTCTGCTGACCGTGCAGGCTGACCCGTCGGGGACCGTCGCTGCAGGACACGGGACGGGGTCCCAGCCACACCGTGTCCTGCTTCCCTCCCTCCCTCCCTCCCTCCCTCGGGCAGAAAGAACTTGACGCGCGTTCTGTGGCCACCATCTGCACACAGCAGTGGTGTTCTTGTCATGTACACACATTCTGATTAAAAAGCGAATTATACTCGACTTACACAGATTTCCTCTCTTCCTGAGTTGGGGGCCAACAGGGCAGGCGACCAGGGGCTTAGGAGCGGGGAAGTGTAACCCCATCTACGACACAACTCAAAATCCTAACGATGACTAGGCTTACTGGTCTAATAGGCAGGTGGACCCTCCAAGACTGGAACTGGGCTCACCCCAGACTCAGCTGGCAGCCATACGACAGACAAGCCCGTCAGGTGCACAGTCGCATCAGGACGGGGTGCGCTCATTAGAACAGTCAAGCCTAAGATGCGGAGGACGGCGTTTGTCCAGGGACCGCCAGGAAAGTGGGAGGGGATGGAAGGGAAGGGTGGGTACAGAGGAAGTGGGAAGAATGCTGTCACAATGTGCAGATTGCAGTAAATGTCACAGAACAGAATGTGTGTGGACTGTTGAATGGAACACGAGTTTGCTCTGGAAACTTCGACACAAATCACACAGTGAATGGGACAGGGAGCGGCGGGGAGAGACACAGGTGAACAGAACAAGACTGAGAGACATGGACAGGCTCAGGAGGGCCCAAGCCCCACCCATCCCACTGCTGCCACTGTCAGGAACCTGTACACACCCCTCCCACCAGCTCATCTGTCAGGGCCCAGGCCTGGTTCTTCACTGCTCCCATGAGACCCTGTCTGAGGCCCCTGCAGGGCAGCTGCTCCCTGCACTGACCGTGAGTGTGTGGGGTGCAGAGCACGCCCATGCTGGTGTACAGACTACATGGACCCCATCCACGTCCCTGGGTGTGGCCTACGCAGCCGTGAACTAACAAGTGGAACTGGTGACCCGTAGAGCAGAGGACCCAGCAGAGCCCTCCAGGAGCCAGCCGTGGGAGGAAACACAAAGGGGTGGCCGTGGGGCACAGCCACAAGCTCCGAGGGCAAACAGCAGAGGCAGCCCCTTTGGGTCTCTGCATTTTATTCAGATGAACCTCACTTTTAAGTTACTGAGCAGAAAGACCACATTGGAGAGAGTCCACCTGGGTCAACATGCAAAAATACACCAGTCCCTTCCTCTCCATGTGACGCTGCCGAGCCGTGTGTCCCCACAGAGTTCACAGTCACGAAGAGCCCAGCCCATCTCAGGCAGCAGTGCCAGGGACCCCACTGCTGCGTCCACGCAGGTCCATGGAAGGAAACCCAGAGGGGACCCCTGTGGCCTCCTTTCCACCAGTGTCCCCCACCTGGGTCCTGGGGCGTTGGGAGGAGCACGGAGCCGCCGCCTGCTGTTCATGTGCCTTTGTTTCCGGGCTGCCCCTCACCCCGGGGCGAGCCTGCAGCCTCAGGAAGGTAAGCTGAGCCCCTGGACCCCGCCCAGCCCCCAGGGAGCGGAGCTGACGGCGAGCCCAGGGTGCCCGGGCCGGAGTCGCTGCAGCCCGGACGCCATCGCGCTGTGCAGCCCCTCTCCACACGCTCACACGCCAGGGTGCTGGTCCTGCAGGCGCTGCGTGGGCAGAGATGACCGAGGACGCCCAGGGTGAGGCGCTGAGCTCAGAGAAGCCCACCGCGTGTGCTCAGCGGTGCACGTCTGCACCCTGGGTCTCCTGCACGCCGCTGCTCCCACACCAGCAGCCCGGGCTCGGCGTTGGGCTGGGAGGCCACTCAGCCATGCGCCCGGCCTGGGCCCAGCCCGGACCCGGGCGCTCAGCGCCACGCTGTGGACGCCCACCTCGTGCTGCTGCGCCTGCCCCCAGAAGCCTTGCGAACGCCGCCTTGCGGGTTTAACACGCTCAGAACCCTGATGCCTCCACCGAGTCCTGCGCAGCGGGGCCTCACGGACGGGGCGCAGCGGGGCAGGGCGGCCTCCCGCCCTGCTGTCCCGCCCGGACGCTGGGGGGCGCCGCATCCCGTTAGAGCCGCTCGGGGCCGAGCAGGCTGGGCCCGGGCGCCTCCCGCTGCGCCAGCTGCACGCTGGCGGCGAACCTGCGGCTGGGCCGGCCCAGGCTGCAGCGCAGGGTGGTGCGGAAGGAGCTCCGGGCGTGCTTGGGGAAGATGATGGTGGTGCTCTCGAAGTGCAGGGCGCGCGGCCGCGGCTCCAGGGTCAGCTGGCTGCGGTAGTTCCGCCACGTGCAGTTGGGCGTGGCCACGATGGTCTCGCTGTAGGCCGTGACGGTGGGCACGGGCGCGTAGAAGACGTTGTCCCGGAAGTGCTTCTCGGACGCGTACTTGACCTCAGAGTTGCAGCTGGGGAGGGAAGAAGGGAACAGACAGGCTTCAAGACGAGCCTGGTCACTGCCCACGTGGGTGGCAGCTGGGACCCTAATGACCCATCTCTGAGCTCTCCAAAATGCCAAGGTAAGAAGCAGACTGCCACATTTTTCTTCCTAGTCTTAGTTTGGAAACACCACTGAAACCTGCCCACCGTGGGTGACCGTGGGTGACCCTTGCAGGGATGTGTAATACCAGCGGCATAGCCTCCAGCATCCTAGCAACACGCAAGCCACTGCTGACAGCCGGGGGGTGGCTGCCTGTGCGTTGACCTGAGCAGGAATCGAACCTGCGTGGAGCATGGAAGGTGAGACTCCTGGTACAGAACCACCCCCGCTCTCCAGTCCAGCTCTTCATGAAGAGACTAGAGAGAGACAAGACAGCTGAACGCAATGGGTGGGTCCGGACGGGGCTCGGGATTTGAAACAACGTCATAAAGGACATTATCAGGACAGTTGGTGAAATGTGAACAGACTGTGACAATGACAGTGGTGGTAACAGATTCCCGATCCTGGCAACTGGGCCCGTCATGTACGAGAGGGTCTCCGCTCTTAGCAAGTGTGCACTGAAGTGCCGAGGGGCTACGGGGATAGCGCCAGCTCACCCTCACGCGACTCAGAAAATATTCTTATGTACATAAAAGCACACGCAAAGGCAAAAGCAGGCAGAGCACAGATGATGAGTCGATCGGTACAGTGGGTGCGGCAAGCCCCACGCTCTTCCGGCCGCTTCCATGATTTTAAGATTATGTCAAAATCAGTTTCCCAAAAAAGAACCCTTGACGCCCCTCAGAGGAGGACCCCTTCGAGAGCCTGCCTTGGCGTCCCCCACCCCTCATCCCCACAGATGAGCAGGGGCATTTGGGGATGGAATGAAAGGCCCCGAGAGTCCATGCAACCCTCACGCATCCTGGAACTGGCATTTTATGAATTAAAAATGAGAACTATTTTAGAAGAAAACGATTTCAGGTAGAGCCGTTTGTCTCCTGGGACCACGTCCCGAGCCGGTAGAGGTGGTTGACGTGGACAGATCAGCCAGAGAGCAGCTGGACCACAGACTCCACTCTGGGTGTGGGAGCCTGACCCCAGGCCCTCTGCGAGGGCACAGCCCCGAAGGCAGGGTCCCACCGGGCCACTCTACGTCACGTGGGCGGCCACCCAATACACACACAGGGCAACACGCCGCGCCCAGAAGGCTGCTGTCTTGTGGTGGGAGAGCGCTGACAGGGAGAGATGATGGTGATGTGGCCGGGCTGGAGGGGGCCGGAGCTGCTGGAGGGTACAGGGTGGCCGTGGGGCTCGGCTTTCACATGAAAGTCAACAACGGAATATGAAGCGGCCAGTGATCAGACAGAAAAGAACAGTGTAACCGGGGCGTGGGGGACAAGGGAGCGGCCGACAGTGTAGGGTGCCTGTTTAGGGTGACAGGCGCACACTCAAACGTTCTGAACACCACTGCCCCGTACACGCCAAGTCCGCTGAGACGGCCGATTTTGTGTTATATGGGCTGTCCCCGGCTTACGAATGTCCTGTTTACAGACTCTCCCACTAGCCCTTCTGTGGGGTGTGAGGTGCCCTCACTTTGAAACAACGGAACCAACCCCAACTCACAGCAAACTTGTCACCATAGTCACCGTCACTTGGTGCCCTGTAGCCTTTAGCTCGTTAGAAAGGCTTCAAGCCTTTTCTTGCACTATAAAGTGAAGCTAAAAACCGTAGGCACCTATTCCGACTCACCCACAAATCCTTAGACACAGGGAGGGAACGCGGCTGTAACCTGTGGCTGCCTGGGTGTCTCTCAAGCCCCAGCAAAGCCGTGGGTGTCGCCTCGGTTCTGACTCCTGACTGCTCAGGGGTCCGAGCAGCACTGGGCTCCACGGGGTTCTCATAGCCCATTTATCAGAAGGAGAGGGCCACACCTCTCTCCCGATGTACGTCTGGGTGGCCTTGAACCCCCAACCTGCCTGTTAGCGGCCAAGCACGTTAATCATTTGTACCACCCAGGAGTATTTCACCACGATAAAAAAACTGATCAGCCAAGTTGGGAGAGTGGGTAAGGGGGACAACGGCTGGCGTGGCCAGGAGCTCCCTGAAGGCCCTGCGGTCAGAGGCTCCTAGAAGCAACTTCCCCTCTGCTAGGAAGCGGGCAGCCCTCAGTAAGCAGTGTGCTTGGCCTGCAGCCTGGCCTCACCTGCCGGGGGGTCAGGCCTCCATCCGAGGCCACGGCCTACTCACCGGATTTCAGGTGTGGGCTCTGGGTCCACCTCGATGCTCTCCCCGAAGAACACAGGTAGCATCCTGGGCCGTGTCTCAAGCACTGGCGGAGTTCGGAGGAGGGTGGATGGCTGTGGGGAGAGTCAGAGACAGTTTGTGCAGTGTTCAGGGCTGGAATCTCTGCATGCTCCTAGGCCTGGCCAGGTCTGGGGGACAGCTTGGTGGGAACCACCCTGGCAGGCGCTGTCTGTGGGGTCCACACACACCCTTGTGCCGGCCAAGCCCTTGCCTGTTTCCGGTCCCGACACTTTGAGAAGGGAGGGTAATGGCTGAAGGTCCTGGAGAGTTGGGGCCCCTCTCGGGGAGCCCCTAGCCCGCAAGCACACTGCCTCCTTGGTGGGAGCAGCAGCACTCCTGCCGGAGTGAGGGACACACACTGGGGTGCAGGAAGCCAGGTGGGACAGCAGACCTCCTCAGGAGGGGGGTGTGCATACCGGGCTTTCCCTACCCAGCATGCACCTCTCCTTGAGGACAAGGATTGGTTCAGATGTGACCCAGGATGGGCCAATGGGAGCCCACCGAGGTTTTCTGCTGGAGCTACAGGGTGACAAGGAGTATAGGGGCTACTGGTTCTCCACACTTCCCGACAAGCACCTATCTAGAAACAAAGCGACACCAGGGCAGACAGTGACTGCAGCTTGCCAACCTTGTTTGAATGCCTGGATCGAGCCATGCCTGAAGCTAACACAGAACTCTTGGCTTGTGAGACTAATAAATTCCTGTTGTGGCTTAAGGCCATTTGAGGTAACCTTTCTGAATCTTGAGTCCCTTTCTAAACCATACCTCAGCTCAACTGCTGAGAAGTTCTTTCTCTGGTCTGTTTCAATGTCTGTCCCCTAAGCTCTACTCTGTGTGGAAGCAAGATAGTCAGGGACCACCATCCCCAGCTCTCTTCTTGGGGCGGTACCCTAAGGCCCCCACCTCACCTTGTGGTCCACGTCCCCACAGCCCATCACCTGGTCAGCCCACACAGATGTCGCCGCCCGCCACCCCAGCCCTCTGTGCCACCCCGTCCCCTCTGCCTGCACCCACCCTCCAGTCAGGATGCTCCATTCTGGAAGCCTCCATCTGCTGTTGCTGGCAAGACCACCAGTGACCCCAAGCTCAGAGAAAGGCCCAACGGAGTGAACGTTTGGAAGCCGAGCTCAGACATGAAGAGGTTCTGATCACGCCATGACATGGCCGACATGGTTGAGAAGCAGGTCACAGAAGGACAGACGGTGTGTGACCCCCAAACGCAGACATGAGGGGTGATGAGGGGCTGGGGGTGCAGAGTTACTGCTTAAGTGACACCAAGTTTCTGTTTGGGGTTGATGAGGAGGTTTTAGACACAGTAGTGATGGGCCCTGGCTGGCAGGTCATGTTTCTGCCTTTGCTAGGTCCATTTGTCGACCTGTGGCAGGGGAGGCGAGGGCTGGGGCGCCGGGGTGGGGGCAGGAGGGGCATTTGGGGGCTCCGTGGATGGAGGCAGAGGGCCTCACCTCCCGAGGCCCCTCCCCATGGGGCAGAACAGCCTGGCTCTTGGTCCTCAGTGCTGTGAGGTGAGGCAAACCAGCAGACGTAGGTCCCTGAGGAAGCCATGGGCAACAAGCAAGGACGCAAACAGTGGCTGGAGCCAGATTTCGGAGGAGAAGGCTGGGTGCTGTGTCACAGGGCCGGTGTGAGGCTGTGGGACCCCACTGTCATCGGTGTGCTCTCAGGTGTAACACCAAAAGCTCGAGCCACAACACACAAAACAGACGGATGGAGTCGTAACGGCCGCGTACGTCCGTGCACCACAGGGCTTTATCAACAACGTGCAGAGACAGCCTACAGATCGGGGAAGTTCCGGGAACTAGATGATAGTGCCAATAAGGGTCCCACACCCAAAACCCAAACCTGCTGTCGAGATGCTAAGAGTCCAGCATCCAAAAAATATAAAATACTTTCTCATTTAACAAAAAGATAATTCACTGAAAAAATGAGCAAAGATACTTTGCCAAAGAGGATATTCAAATAGCCAACAAACCCACGAACAGCTGTTTCCACGTCAATTTCATTAAACTGAAAAACCTAACTTGCTGTAGAGTGGATTCTGACCCACAGCGCCCCTAGAGGACAGAGTGGAACTGCCCACAGGGTCTCCAAGGCTGTCAGTCTTCACAGAAGCAAAACCCAAACCACACCCACTGCCTGGAGTCCATTCTGACCCACAGCGCCCCTAGAGGACAGAGTGGAACTGCCCACAGGGTCT